TACCACGCCCGAGGCGGCACTTAGCAATGGTAACTTTTTAAGCACTGAGAAAAATATGCAATTGTATTGACTACTACAATATTTATGATGCATTAAAGGGGGATTGTATTGCAGAGGGTATCATATATTTGGTTAGAAGATTGTAAAGGAAAGAACGGAAAATAATAAAAAAAATTGATTTCACCATATTTCACGCATTTAGTTATTGTTTATGATTGCCAAAATACAAATTTGGTTTTGAGAAACATTTAAGCTTTCCCCACGACCGCTGACATTTCCATACCCCTTTTGCTTGTTCCTAGCCCCATCCTTTATTGCAATCTGTTGACCTCCTGATTTAGAATGTTTTCGATATCTGCACTGCCCACCCATTCGCATGGAAATGAGAGGCCAAGGCTGGAGGACAGAAGGGTGGGCAGTCGGAGTGGGAGTGGGAGTGGGAGTGGGGGCGGCGTCTTGGCTCTAGTCAGGATGATAACCGCAGGAGCCGCGTCCCATCCGCCATCCGCCATCCGCCATTATGTCGCAACCGCTTTCGCTGTTGCAGCTACAATTGTTACAACTGCAGCTGCAGTCGCCGGCCAAAAGAGCAAATTCAATAAAGTCCGGCAGTGACGGCGTTTTCGTGCGGCATTTGTCAGTTGCCAAATGGCTAACATGTCTTTCATGTTGCCCCAGCCCCTCGGTGGGTCGGCCAATTAAACGAGGCACACCACGGGGGCAGCTGACTAGATGTCTGGCTGGCAGGCAGGCTGGCAGGCAGGCAGGCCAAACGAGGACGCACATTAGAGCCGGGCAAGAAGAAGGAGCAGGGGACAGGGCCCAAAAGGATTTATGCAGTGCGGCACAGATACACACATCCAGAGTGGGTCATCAGTTGGCCAACAAGCAGCGAGAGGGCGTGCGAGTGTGAGTGTGAGTGTGAGTGCGTGCGTGTCTGCTGGTGTCCTCGATATTTATTGGGAGAGCCATAAATAAATAAGCCATAAAATGCTAACGAACGAGCCAAAGAACGAGCGACGTCAGCCAAGTGCAGGACACCTCGATCTGATCTAGCCCCAATTGAATTGAACAATTGGACAAACAATGGCAACTAAAAGGGTTTCAGGAATGGGTCCCTTGCCATTCAGCATTACATTTTTTAATGGCAATTGTTAAGTGATAACGAGTATCTGAAACTTTGCAATAGGCTGTTTTCAGCACTTATCTTAGGCCTTTTCCACCATCTTATGCAACTATCCCAAGCCTCTTCCTCGGAGCCTCATCAATTACGTAATGTCAACGGGCAAAAGTGCATTAATTAAGCCAACCCCCCCCTGGGTCTTAACCAACCCCCACTCCTCCCCCAGAAACCATGAACCATAAGGCGGTGGCCACGCAAATTGCATAAAACGTCGACCCAACGGGGAAAAGGTTGGCAAGGGGACTGCAAATGAGACAGGGAAAGGGCCAGTGCCAGGTAAGATTACGGCGCTTGATTGAAAGACTGCAGTGATGGAGGAGCTGCCAGATTGGGCCACCTGTCGATCGATGCAGCTTAATCGATTGACCGACCGCCAAACCATGAATCAGACCAAATTAAATTGGGAACGGAAAATTCAAATTTCAATTGCAAGGCAGCAGAAACAAAAAGGACAAAAAACAGCTCAAATTACAGGACGACCCCGTCCCCGCACATGACCAACCTCTAACCCTTACAAGATAATTGGCCAAATAACTGGACATGTGATCGGAAATCACTTAACCCACAAAAGGCACTGCCAAAAAGCACCGAGAACTACAATGAAAGTCAATACTTGAATTTCAAGCCGCAAAAACTAAATTGTATTATGACAGATCCTAAGAAAGTTCCACTAAACTAGTGAAACTAGCTATATATGTGTGGCCTTTTAATTGTGAAATGAAGATGCCACAAGGGGATTGGTAAATATAATTCCCCTTGTAGCTTGGATATGTACAGCTTCTAGCAGAACTTCTTACTTATAAAATATAACAAAATATTTTATAGACTTAAAAATGAATAAATTCTGGCAGGATAAAACAATCTGTCGCCCGCATTAAGCCCTCACAGAGTTATCCGACTGGATGGCAGTAATGTATCTGCAACATCTTCCTCCAGTCGCTGTTGTTCTTGTTGCATAATTGTACGCAAGGCTTCGGCTTTGTTCTCCGTTTTCCTTTGGAGGGGCGGGAAAACTTTCAGCCGGGTCAATGCAACTCCCCCCAAAAGCCAACTTTAGTTTGAGTTTTACAATTTTCTAGCCAAGGAGGGGGCACTGAGCAGGGAAATAAGGGGGCTTGGCAAGGCATGTTTAACGGCTTGTTGGCCACTTTACGCCCCGTTGTACGATGTACGCAGACCGCGGCAGCAGCACAGAAACAAAACGGCAAAACAAGAGCCAGCGAACGAACTATAAAATAAAATAGCAGAGAAGGCAAAGGAAATAAACAGCCAACACATGCTCGCCAGTGTGTGTTTGTATGTTAATTAAGGGTGTTCCAGAAAGAACACATAATCCTGCCGAATAAGTGCAATGCACTGCAGTCCCCTTGCATTCAACCGCCGAAAGGAATTCGGAATTACAATTACAATCATAGAGAGGGGTGTGTTTTCTTTTCCAGGAATGCTATCTCTACTCAATAAATGGAGAACTTGTGAAATCAACTTTTCAGTCTTTACCCCAAATACATAGTTTCGAAATGTCCGAATAGATGTCAGGAACACGTCCATCCGCCCACTGTTTGCGTGGGCGTGGCAGGTGGAAATCAAAGACCCCGTCGGTGGCAGGTGAAATGCGAATGTTTTAAATGCCATGCAACTGGGAGCCCATTGAAAGTACAAGCACTCTCCTGGCCGTATGAATGCCTGCTATATAGTACATAGTACATAGTACATAGTAGGGTATAGTATACTACAGGTCCACAAACATCCATCCGCATTTGTATTTATATGTTTATTTGCAGGGGCACGCAACGCGCCAGCAAGTTGGCAAGTGCTCTAGAGAACCCGCAGCGAAAACGCGAACGCGCGGCGACAAATGGGTTTCGGGAGGTGGTATTTGCCATGTGGCATTTGCCATGTGGCGCTTGCAAAATAACTTTATATTACAGCCATTCTGCAATGGTCAAGCATCGCGAGGCCGCAACTCCATTGGGAAATCGATGAATCACAGAGTCAAACTCCCCGACATTCCCCAGCAGAGTGGTCTCAACACTTTGTCTAGACATCTGTCAGGACATTTCACTTTAATCGCTCCCGCTTTTGGATGCAGGGCACCCAACCTCTGGGTGCCCCTTAACCCGATGGCGTCATCGGGACGCCTCCTGCCCACAGCTGTTGTTTGGGAAGAGCTTTGGCAGTCATATGATTTGTTTTTGGCCAGGCGCAAAGCTCGTCTGGCGCATGGAAGCGAGAGTCCTGGCACTTGGCCAGTGGAAGGACCTCTGGGGAGGGGATCCCCCTTCCATCATGAAAGCTCTGTGGCGTTGCAGCAAAAAGCTTCCGAATATGCCGGCAAGAGAGAATGGACATATGGGTAAGTACCCGAACGCAGAAACTTCGACTCAACAACTCCCCTTTTCAATGCCCCCAACTTTTCTTGTAGCCTTATGAAATTATGTAATAGCCAAAGCGGATTTGGGGCGCATCCACTTATCGGGCAATACTATTCTCGCCTGGCCAAAATTATTCTCTCCTGATGATGGTGTCTCCCCGTCATGTCCTTGTCAATGTCCTTGTCCTTGTCGCCCTGTCAGCGGGCGACAAATTGGGGGTGTGCCCCAACTTGATGCGCTAGGACCTTCTTTGTGAACATTTAAATACTTGAACCAACACAAATTATATGCCATTGCAACATATAAAGTAAAAAGATAGATAATTTGATATAATTGAATGCAATCTGAATTGACCACCCCATATTTTGTCTGCAACAGAACTATGAACAATTAAAACCTTTGAGTTGTGTTTTAGCACAGTATTTGAATACTCAAACAAAGGACTGCATCATCAATTGTGGCCAACGGATTCCGACTTACGAACGGATTATATACCACAAAGTCAAACCTTTAAATAGTATATATGTATATGTATGTTACGTTATAGTTTTAAAACGAAGCCGAAATGAATATACCCTCGAAGGCATTACAAAAATAATATATACTCTAAAAAGGCTATATTTCGTCCTATAAATACAACGAAGTTATAATTTTTTTTAAATTACACAAAATTACAAAATCCTACTGTTGACAGTTAAAGTCTTCTCTTACTCTTCTAGGGTACAACGTTCCCATTTTAACTGTGAACGAGCGATTACTTAGTCAATTACACTGCTTGATCTCAGCTTTCACGTTGCTATCCCTACGGGAGTCTTCAAACATCATTCAGGCGTTTCCTTTGAGGTTGGCTCACCAGGAGAAGAGGCCGCGAGAAATGTGCTCGGCAGAAAACTTTCGGCCATTCAGATCAGGAAAAACCTTTCGCCCACCTCCCCTGCTGCAAGCTTAGCACTTGGCGGAATCCGCTTAAATGCCATTTCCGGTACGGCAAGTGTTGCATACTTTTTGTCGGGTTTTTGCAGAACGAAGGGACATTGAAGCGTACAGCCGATTGTATGGGTGTACGAAAAACAGCCGCAGGTCGGTATGGGAATTCCTCCAAAGACGACAACTGTGTTCCGAGAACTGAGCTGAGCTGAATTGAGTTGAATTTACTGTGGGACAAGTGCAGCTGCCACAGTTCCTTTTGTTAGGCCCTGCCACGCCCCCACGCCCCCACGCCCCCACTCCCCACCTACATACTCCCCCGCCTTGGGGGCCAACTGCATTGCAGTTGCCATATATTCATTGCACCATCCTCTGCCTGCTCCGCCCCTTTCCCATCTTATACATTCGTTGGCCAAATTGTATATTCCTGCCTTTTAAGGGGTGAAGGTGGTCGGTGGGATTTGACAGCCCCAGGGGATGGTTGCTCTGAAGCTTAAATATCAACACTTGACACTCACCATTGTCCGGCACTTGGCGACTGGGTTTTCTTTGTTCGGCCGCCAGCGAGGATTCGGTTGCTCCTTGTGTCCATCTCCCCCACCTCGCCCACCTTCTTATCGGTCCATCCTGCTGACATGCAAATTGGGGGGACGAGTGGCTTCTAACCCCGCGTAAGAAACAGAATAAGTCTAATCCGATGAGTTGCGTAAACATATCTGTAATAAAGGTTTATTCTTGGTTAATTTTTAGTTTTGTAGTTATTGGATTTTGTCGTTATTTTTAGAAATTAAACCTATAAATTAAACTTCTATACTGATACAGAATATTTAGGTCGTTATTTGGTCGAATGGATAGACTTTTTAAAGACTATAACTTAATTAATCGGAACCCGATTGCAAAGTGGGATAAGAGTGCGTTATGACTACTGTTTTGATTTTTGTCAAATTTTTACAAATAAATGAAAGTGCACTAGCAACATGTTCTGTCCTGCAGGAAGGGAAAAATAACCCATTTTAAAAGAATCCCTAATAGCAGATGTTTGTTGCGGCTGTTATTGTTGATAAGAATGGAAACAACATAACACAACCGGAAAAAAGAACCACAGTTCGCTCACTTGCCATTTCGCTGTGCAACCCATTTATGCTCGCCTGTCCAAATTGGAGCACTTATTGTACAAAAAATGCACGACGGGCACAGAAACGGAATACATACAGTTCGCTCACAGCTTTTTGAACCACTAGCTATCAACAACTTTAACTGCCTATAACAACTGAAGTATGCGAGTTATAAAAATAATTTATCATAAATTAATCATGCGGCCTTGATGTTTGTTTCTATAATAATTTTTAAAAAATATTTATAAAATATTTTAAAATACCTAAAATACATAAATACAATTTTTTAACATTAATGAATTATCCTGCAATTAAGTTTTGTTGATTAGTTATTAACTTCAGTTTATATGGGCTATTCAAGTTTTTGATAGATAGTGGTTCAAATAAGCTGTGAGCCACTGTATGTATAACGGATAGTGGAGGAAATCATTGCTAGTTCTAGATATGGTTTAGATACAAACCACTTACCAGGTAGGTTTTTGTTTTGTGGAAACTCGTTTAAATAAGAGCGTTACGCTTCGGTTTTAATTGATTACGTCAAAGCTTATCGTGAATTTGAAAGTTTAGCCGGGTCACGAACCGGCCGCATACACTTCAAGTATACGGCTATCCCACTCTAACCCCAGGTGCAGTGCAAGCGGGACAGCGATAGAGCGAACACCATACTCACGAATTTGGGTCGTTGGTCTGCTGGCACATGCTGCTCGCCTGTTGATCCGTCTAGGGCAAGTTCCTAGAATGTTCATTCCAATAAGCCCGCTGCAACATCGCGCGGAAGCGCTTCAAGCCAAACGGCTCCAAAACTCGTAGAATTCACCCGAACGAAGCAGGCCAACAGAGGCGCCAGCAGCAGCGAAAGTGCGCCCAACATGTTGCGGCGACATCGCGTCATGCGCGTCGCGAATTAAGCAGGCAAACAGAGATGGCAATAGGGTGCCAACTGCACGGGGAGGGGAAATCCTGGACGCCACTTATGGCCGCCAGGAACATATGGCCAACTCGAAAACGGCGGACGGCTAATACTAAATTCACAGACACACACTTAAACACGACAGGAGCGCCGGGAGCGGTCCACAGTGGAGCGGAACGGTGCGACGTATAAGCGCGAGCGTTAACACTTTCGTTTTCTTGTTCCAACCTGACGCTGGCCGCTAAACAGGCGCTCAGAAACTAACAGCAACCGGTTGAACCGGCAGAGGCGGGCGACATGTAGACTTTTGCGCACTAAAACATCTATGTTTATCCCGCTCTGGCTCACGTTTATAATCGCACATACACACTCGCACATCTCGCACTCCGCAAGAGAGACGCACTCTGTGTACGTGGCCGTGCCCTCTCTATTAATCTTAGGGTGGCCATGAGATGGCAATGTCCTTGTATAAAAAACAGTTTTGGGGCACAGGCGCTCATCGAAGTGCAGTTGGCGTGGCCCGCAGTTCAAAAGAATACTGGAGCAGTAGCAGCCATCTCGTTCTGCCGCGATTCGCAACATGTTGCCCGGCAACATTTTCTGGCACCCCTCTCTATGTTGAGCTGAAACACAGTGAACACTCGTTGGTTGTCTTTTAATTTAAAAATGGTAAAAGAAATCTAAATGCTATTTGCAGCGATTTTCTCGTAAAATACCTAGTTAGGGGATTACCTAAATGGCCGAACCTCTAAAACTTTAACAGAAATTGTTAGTACTGAGCGACCCAGAATTGTTCCCCTTGAATTGTCAATTTTTTGGATCTAACAACATGTTTAACTGAAATTGTTGTTAATCACTGTTTAAATCTATCACTATTAAAAACTATTGATATGAAAATTATTTATATTAATTTACAGAGCTGCCATGACTTGAGAACAGATTGACAACTCCGGCTTATCGGTAAATCAACAGCCGACAAGTAGTTTAATTGCTGAAATTTTTTAAAATCGAATTTTTATGGAAAGCTGGCTAAGAGCTGGTATTCCCTTAACGACTTAATCGTGCCTCGTGTCTCGTATTAATACAACTTTCAGGAACATATTAATATCGCAGCACGAATGAATTACTATGAAATCAAATTAAGCGGTTAATTTAAGTTGTTATCTTATTTAAAGCTTAAAATACTAAGAACGAAAAAATTAAACACTTTTGTTTTCGGAAATATGTAGCTACATATGTTAACCGGGACAGCGGTTGAAAAATTAACAGGAAAAATTTGGGTCAATCCTTCAAATGCTGAAAGTTTCTGTTGATGATTTAAAGTTCGTAATAATAAACTAAAGAACTAATCAACTTTTCGTAAAAAAATCACTTAACGTAAAATGTCAAGTTTTTTGGTAGATAATTGCAAAATAAATGTTAAAATGAGTTAATTAATTTTTGGAACCAGATCCTAAATGTTTTTTATTTATTTATTATTTATTTATTTATCCCATCGATATGGGTTCACTACATCGAACAGCACTGTGTCATAAGGCACACTAATCCCAGGGTCCGAGTGCCCTTTTCTGGTAAGCACTGTACACTCTCTGTCTGCCGGGAGTTTCGAGTGGTTACCCCTCCGCGTCCAGTGGAGCCTGTGCTGCGGCTGCTGCGAGCCTGTTCGAAAATCGACTGACTGAAGGCCCCTGAAATCGTCGCAACACGAAGATGAAGTTCGGACGAGTGGCAGCCGAGCTGTAATCGTTGGGGCCTCCGCAGAAACTCATTAAATGCTTCTTCACTTATTTAATCCACCACGGGCCTCCTCCTGCCACTTTCTTTATGGCTAGGGCAATTAGTGGAAAATGCTCCGCCCCCACTGACCACAGCCACAGACGCCTTCTTCATTAGCTGCGCACATTTCAACCTACGATTTTCGTAGCGCATCTTCTTCTATCCTATTACGCTAACATCTTCCTAATTAAAAAGCTGACAACACAGGCTCCCGCTGCCACCTCTTTCGCCACCGAACACTAGACCGGTGGCAGATTTTTAATTGCTTAATTGGAACTGCGTGGAAATCCCGTAGAGAATGCCCTCTACGCATCCCTGAAAGAAGAGCCCTACCCCCAAAAATCGTGCAAACATCCGCCACCCATAGCCTGTTGCTGGGCAATTAAAATGCAACCGCAGATGAGGGGCAGTTCTCAAGGTCGTCCGGGTCGAGCAACCACCACGCCCAAGATACGCCTCAAACCAGGCTGGGGAACAGGCGCCCAGTAAGCGGCAGGACACTAGATGCAGGATGCGGACGCGGATGCGCAGGATGTTGATGATGCAAGAAGCTTGGCTTGCCAAAAACGTCGGAGCAAAGCTCAGCCAAAAAGTTCCTGGGGAAAAGCTCCAAGCACCTCGATGGGGGAATCCCACAGAAAAACTGTTACAGGTTATGTAATAGCCCGACAATCGTACGAACTTAAGATTGTTATTTTGGCAGAGGAATTTCTACAAGACTTGTCTGGGAACCACAAAACCAGTATATGGTTCCATTGCACCTATTCAAAAAATTAAATATTCTATAAAACGACCATATTTTGATTTTAAAGAGTATATGAAGTTAACAATGAATCCGGCCCGTTCCGACCTACTTATCTACTACCTACAAGAAGACTTCTAGATAAATGTCCTAGTTTGCGCACAAACGGACAGACAGACATGGCTAGATAGACTATCCTGGTGATACTGATCAAAAATATATGTAGGGGAATTAGGAATATACAAAAATAGCATCGATTCCGTTTGCCATATAGCAGGACGCCATTAAAATTGTTTTTACTAACACTAACCAGTGTTCGAGACCCACCTAACAAGGATTATAGTTCTTGCTGTACTTACGGTTTTTATGTTCTTTATGTATAATTATCCATCGGCGGGTCTCCATATATTTTAATTTCAATTATGGACCTTTCTTGAAAATCCTAGTAAATTATCCTGGTTGATTTCATTTCTTGAGTTTTCTTGAAATTCCTTGTAAATAACTTCTGGCTGACATAGGTCTTCTTTTTTATTGATTTCTATTCTTGACTTTTCTTGAAATTCTTTGTAAACAATTTTGAAAAATAAAATAAAACAAAATAATTATAAAGCCATAAATATATTGTTCAAAGATATTAAATAAACACCTTGAAGTCCTTGTAAACGTAATTTTCCATATAGCTTCAACCCAAATCATTCATTTCAAAGCGATGTCAATGGTTTATAAGTTTTATTTTGATGGTTTCTCACGGAAAGAGCCACTCATAAATTTTATGTATGTACGTACAGGGGTCGAAGGATATGCGGAGTCGTTGTTTTCTCATCTTCACTCCGATCCTCAGGCGTTGTCCGGTTGCTCCCGAAGTCCTAGTGACACCCTAGTACGCTTTTAATTTTGTATAATGGTTGTCTTATTTTTGGTTAGTCATAGTTCCGTATAACGTATTACATAGTATAATGCATGTGTATATGTGTATATAAATTTAGTTAACATTTATTCACCAAATACTCAATGTCCCTCCATCTCATCGTTTTTTGCTTCGTGGTCTTCAATCTAACGATCTTAATACTCGTTTGTTAGTCCATCTTTATATCGAAACAGTTACGCTCATATTTAAATATATAAAAGTTCAGTTGCCACAATTTGTTGTAAGTGAAACGAGATAGATTGTTTGAGAGTGGGTACAGAGGAATGGGCAGGTTCAGGGTCGGGTGAATGGGTCTGAACAATTAGTCTTTGGCACATTTCAATCGATGCTATTGATAAAGCTGATATGTAACTGGAATTTTCTCGCTTTGAGCTTTGTGAGTGCAAAGGGAACGAACAGAGTGTTAAGTAAGTCAAGCGGAGATTGAACCTCGAGCCTCAATATGAAATATTAGGTTTTTGCCAAATTTTCTAGAAATATGTATGCCTTGTAGTGCTTTTAATTTGATTTCTGCATAAGCTTTATAGTGGGTTCATAATAAATTAGAATAATAGAATCTGCTCAGGCTCGACTAAGATCTTCTTGAGAGCTCTGGTCAAAAAAGTGAAGCATTTGGAATATGGCTTGGGGGACATATCTGTTCGTTATGCTACTTTTTGAAAGTTTACTGACTTGCGATTCGTATTCACATTGAGTCTGTAACAATAATTCGAGAGAACTGGTCAGGCTATGGTAAAACTTGATTTAGACTGGCCGAGAATCGGATTACTTGGAGATTTTCAATTTTTTGTTGCATCTTAGTGCACTCTAATGCGATCAATGAAATCTAATATGATTACTTTGCTGTCGTTTAGTTAGTTTAATTCAATTCAACAAACAATGCGCTAAGGTTGTAACGTTTGCTAATTATATATCAATTATATATATATTTTTTTTTGATTTTCCCTTTCTAAAGTTAGTGTATTTTGATAAATTAGTAATATATATAAGGCCGCATGGGGCAACTGCTATGAGAATGCTTTAATACTTTTCAACAGATGTACACTCCTATGGGATAGTGTTAGCCGGGGGTCAAAGGAGAAAGAGGGGATAGTTAGACTACTATTGAAGTAAAACCTTCTCATTCTTCTTGCACTCTCTAAAATCTGGGGTCCCAGAACCAGAGTCCTCTTGAATTCGTTTCCAATTGTTTCTACAGTTAGGGGAATGCTTGTATTTTTTGTTTCCCGTTTGTCTTTGTCAAAATTCATTTAAAACTCACTTGGCAATCTTTGCACAATTCTTGTTCTAGTAATTGCAACACTGGCACATGTATGCACTGTGGTATGTTTGGAGTCTTACATGTAGTCGTTAATCAAGTTAAAATAAATCGAGAGTAAAAAAGATACAAAGTGGATTCGTACAAAATATATCCAATTCAGTTATATTCAATACGGTTACGGGTTACTAAACAAAAACGCGTATTACGTAAATAAAATCGCATAACAACTTAGAATTACGAGGGCGCAGCAATCGAGTAAGTAAACTATGTATGTACAGCTCAGGCGGAGCAGGTGAATGGCGAGGGATAGGGTCAGATAGAGGCAGTTCCCTAAACTAAACGTAAACCAAATAATAAATAAATCAATAAATAAAGTAAATAAGTAAAGATGCAAGATGCAGGGGTGCGGGGCAGTGCGAACGGAAACGGAAAAACAGAAAACAGAAAACAAACAAAAAGTGAAATGCACGCCAACTCGGATAATTTAAGGGGCGCTTACTTCGCCGCTGTGGAGGCGGAAACGGAACCGGGCGTGGCCGATAGCGCCATCTTAGAGAGCGTGGCCAAAGAACGTTTCGGGAACGTGTGGTTGCCGTCCGACGGATCAGAGAACAGTTTCCGGAAACTGCAAGACGAGGTTGTAAAGGTGTAATTAGAGAGCTTCTTGATAAAATGGAGAGGGTGTTATTCTTACAACTTGCGAATTCCCGACTCTGAACTCTTCTTCCAGGGCGCATCGTCCGGTTCATAGGGCAGCGGTCCCTGCACGGGCGCATCGTGACCAGGCGGCCTGAAAAATTGTATATTGATGAAAGCTCAGACAATCTTCTAGTTAAATAAATAATATATGAATTCACGGTTAGGGTTATTCTTCAAGCCTTTGTTTATCTTCAATTGTTTATACGATCACCTAATAACACATACCTATATATAGCTGTTGACCTTGCAAACAAACAGCCAGCAAAAACTGGCATAAATTATGAATCACCAGTTTAGGAATTGTTTGCATCATAAGGGGTATTTAAATATTGTTAATACTTTAGAAAAAGGGTGACTCAGGTCACATGGGCTCTTTCAATAAATGTTTTCCTCTAATAAGGGCTTTAAAGTATTGTCCTATACAACAGGTCATAACCGTCTAAAACAATTCACTCACGTCTCTCCGGCTGCTGGTGGCTCGTCCTCCTCCTCCTCGTCGTCGTCGCCGTCATTTGGCTCATGACCATCATATTCGTCGTCGCTTTCGTCGGAGCTTGAAAAGTGGCGTTGCCGCTTGCCCTTCGTCTGGCTGGGCGGCTTCAGCTCCGCCAGTTGTTCATGAAGGCCGTCGATTGTGGTCAGCAGCTGGTCGCGCTCGCTGATCAATTCCTTGAGCTCGCGCGTGGTGTATCGCGGCCGATTCGGATCATTTTGGCCATCGTCGTACGAGGCCACCAAATCCTCGTTTTCCTTTTCGGCCAGGCCAAGACGCTTGCGCAGCTGATTGATATCGCGGCTCTGGTCCTGCAGCTGGGCCAGAAAGTCGGCGCGCTCCTCGCAGAGTGTCTTCACCTGTGCCTGCATTAGCTTGTGACGGCGCCGCGTGTCTCGCTCGGAGGCCTTTAAACGCTCCGCCTGGATGTTGAGCTGAAAAAAAAGGCGGACAATTTTAAATAAGTAGATTAGGCCCCAATATACCCATATCCATATTTAAAGAACAGTAAGGCCGTCTTGCTTATACTCCCCAAAGCAACAAAGAAAACTCACGTGCTCCAGCTCGCTGTACTTGTCCTGCAGCTCTCGCTCGCGGTGCTTCAACTCATCGCGCTGCTTGTATATCTGCTCCTTGAGCCGCTGCAACACCTGGGTGTCCGAAAGGGCGCCATGCAGCTCGTGGTTGGTCATACTGATGATGCTCTCAGTGAGACTGGCCCCCAGCCCTGAGCTCTGCGCGGAGGAGGACTGAAGGTCCTGCGTTTGCTTGACCAGCCGCTTGTTCTCGTCCTGCAGCGAGGAGACGAGGTCGACGAGCTCGTTGGTCTCGCTACGCCACTGCTCCTCGATTAGCTCCAGCTCTTTGTCGAAGCGCCGCCGGAACTCCGCCTTCTCTAGCTTCTCACTCTCCAGCTGGACCACCTTGTCGCGCAGCTCCAGGATGGTGGCATTCTCGCGCTCGTTCTTCGTGGCCAGCGCCTCCAGTAGCTCCAGCGTGTTGATGATCTTGGGCATCAGACCGCTGACGGCGTCCGTGCCAAAGCGATCCATGATCCGCTCGTACTCCTTGCCGATGTCGGAAGCCAAATCGTACACATCGACCACGCCGATGTCGTCGATGGCGTCCAGGACCATTTCACCCATCTCATTGAGGTGGAAGCCGGGCATCCAGGTGATCAGCAGCAGCAGCAATGAGGTGGGTGGACGAAGTTGGTGCTCCTGCAACTCCCGATGGGCGGTTGTTCCTTTGTTTAAATACGACTATAGAACTCTGTGCTTCTGAAGACCCGCTTCAGATGGCAGCCCCGGTGTTCCAGGCGTCTCAAGGGCGGGGGGATGTGCAATCTGTAGTTCCAGGTCGCGCACACACACGCTCGCAAACCTACACTTGTGCGCGCGAGAGTGGGAGAAAGTATGGGAATTCACGTTCACTTCATTCACTAGCGCTGTTGTTGTCGTTTTCGCATCCGCCGCTGCTGCCGATTCCCACATAAACAATTCTTGTTTTTCGCAATTTATGCACAAGCGAATTTTTGCTGAACTGGAACTGGAAGCGATGAGTAATAATAAACTTGTTCGCACTGGTTCCAGAGCGACGGACCGATAGGTGCATATCGGGTGCCATCAATCGCGAAATGGCACAGTGTTGGGTAACGCAAGTGTTTGGCGGGAAGTTCAGAATAATTTAAGCAACGAAAAAAAACTGGCTTTGAAGATTTAGATTATTATAAAAAAGAAACACATTAAGAAATAAAACTTTTCTTCGAAATGAAAGCCATCCTGGAAACACAAAAAAAACCACAAAGTAAATTCATTGTTTTATTAATAAGTTTTTGTTTACAAAAAATGTATAAAGAGTTTTGTTTGGTTTGGTTGTTTTGTTGGATTTCACTTTTCCTTTGGTGTTATTCTTTGTAAATTGTGGTAACTGGGTAGGCAATTATTTGTATTTTACACGTACAATTAGCAATAACTAAATGGCTTGTATGCTACACTAAAATACAGTTATGCAGCGACGACTAGCAGCAAGTTGATCCATCTCTCCCTCGTTCGCCCATCCCTCTCCTCTATCTTCCTCTATCTGTACAGACTATTTTGTTTTGGTTCTTTAAGTACATTAAATTAGCTACAGTTCTTTGGATAGGTTATTGGGGGTCACGAGCAGGGAACTCTCTGGGTTGATATATAAAAATAATACACAAGTTAACGGCTAGGCATAGCATTTTAGCCTTCTGCATCGTTCTCGTTTCTTCACTCTTTTGTTTAGGGACTAGATTAGGAACCACATTTGTACAGTTTTCGTATTTGTGTTCTTTTAACTGCTTTCTCTAATTTAGTTAGTTCTAATTTTAAGATAAATGTACAAAGTCAAGATATTCTCCATCTTTTTTTTTGGTTTCAGCTCTCGAAAACCTAACATTAAAAACACTAAAAAAAAACAAAAAAAAGTGGCTCAATACGTAAAAACAATAAAAAGATTCTAGCACTAATTTTAAGTTAGGTTAGCAAATAAATAGCGGGTTGCGAATGATTGTGACCTGTTGACCAAGTCCTTTAGCAAACATTCTCGATGGCAAGGCTCCTTTTTTTTTGGCACTCAAACTAGACGTAAATAAATATAGTAATAGTTAAACGTACTCATAAACGTAGTGGGTTGGGGTTAAGTGGGGGCTGCCCGGCATGCAAACTAGACGAAATACTAGCAGCCCTTCTGATTCTGCTGCAGGGCCAGCTGCCTCAGCAGCTCGGAGGTGGCTTCCTGGCGCAACAAGCGCTTTGCGGACAGTTGAGGGGAGTGGGGCTGCGAGTTTGGCGGCGAAAGGCCGCCCACCACGCCCACATCCTTGACCAAGGCATCCTGTGAGTCATCTTCATCGTCATCTTGTTCTTCGTTGGGCAGCGTCAAATCCGTTATGGCCCGGCTCTCTTCCTGCGACTGTTCTTCCTCCTCAAACCGGTCATCATCTATGTCCACTATCGAAATGATGTCGCTATCGGCGTCGCCATCGCCGTCGCCGACGTCATCGCCATCGTCTGGAGGACTCCCTAGTGCACCCCGCCCTTTCACTGCGGACTAGCTAGTGGTGGCCTGCGATTGCAGCACGTTGGCGGAGACGGGGGATGAGGCACTAGCAGAGACCACTGCGGTCGGCGATAGGACGCTGGCTCCTGGGAAATGGCACGGACACGTGGGATTAGGCATGTGGCCCGCCTCACTGTTTAGCTTGCGGGTCAGCGTCTGCCAATATTCGATTTGGGCATTGATCAGATCGATCTTCCGCTTGCTCTCCTCGATCCTCAGCGAGTTCATCAGCTCCTGGTGCTGGCTTCTCGGTCCACCGCTGGGACTTCCGCCTACCGTGCTGGCCGTGCCCGCACCCACGCCCAGGCCCACACCGCTGCTGTTGGCGCTGCTCCCGCCGCATCCGTTGCCGCTTCCGCTGCCGTTTAAAGTGCCGCAGGGCACCGCCACTGCCAGTCCGTTGTAGCCATTGAAGCTGCCCGCCGCTCCAATGGCCACGCCACTCGTCTTGTCCCGCGCCAAATGGTGGTGCGACTGCTGAGCGTGGTGATTGCCGTTGAGCAGGAGCTGCACGCCATTGGCGGTCACCGTGGAGTTGTTCGTGTTCCCGCCGGTGTTGTTGTTCCCGCGTTGGAGGCGTGGCAGTTGAAGAGTGGGAGGGGTACGGCGGCTGCTGGCGGCCACCGACGAAGCGGGAGCGGAAGCGTAGGCGGCATTGATGGCCGCCTGCAGGGACTGAGGCGGATTCACAGCGGACAGGCCCAGGCCGTTCAGGAGCGTGTGCTGTTGCACTTGCTCCGCCGTTAGGGGTAGCACTCCGCTGCCATTGGAGCCACCATTACTGGCCGACAGACTGGCAGCGTTGGAGCCGCTGTTCTGTAACGTCTTGTTGATGTTGGCAAAACTGCCCACCCGAATGTGGCCCACTGTCTGGATGGTAATGTCCGGCTTGGGCGCCGATGCATAGCTCCCGCTGGAGCTCACCGAGGTCTTGGTGGAGCATACAGGCGAGCTGGCGGCACGGCGAACAGGGTCCGTGAGCCCATTGCTAGCCACATTTCCCGGCAGCGAGGCGGAGCACACACCACCGCCGCTGGCGGCGGCAGAGCCCACCTGCTGCAGCTGGCGCAGATCCGTGGGGAAGAGAACGTCGTCCTCTTCTTCCAGGCACACTTCCGGTGCCTTGGGGCTCAGACAGTCGTCGTCATCGTCGTCGTCCAGGCAGTCCATCCCGTTGTCCGTTTGCTCGTTGTCGCTGATCGTCTCCGACTTAATGAGAATCACGTCCGTGTCCATGCCCTCGGGGTAGAGGGGCATCTGCAAGTAGGAAGAAAATAAATGATACTGAAATCATTATAGACAGAATTTTAGTGAGTTATATAAATTTTAAGGGATCCAATGACTTATGATAGTATGTAAACTTGTTACTGGCAAAAGACTGCATATTTTAAATGCATTAAGCAATAGGTTAAAAAAGATTTAAAAAGTGAGTTAAATAACATAGAGAGATATAAGCTGTCTACAGGCCTAATCGAATTTAATTATGTTTGTCACCATATCTTGCCTTCATCACTTGCGTTATTAAAAATATTAGAATATCACTTTAATTCTATTGTTTAATCTAATAGAAGTAGGAACATTTTATAAAAGCTTTTTGCAGTAACAAAATACGATGGGCCTTCTTTCTGTTTGTTTTTGATTGCCGTGTTTAAGAAAACAATTTATATTTTAAACAAATAATGTATGAAATAAAATTAAAAATAAATTAAATCATATTAATGTTACATACTTAAAGAGGGCACATGATACTTTGTTTTTTTGAAAAGCTTACTTTTAAATGTTAAACAATTTTAAAAGTATTAGTATACAATATAAAACAACTAATTATTTTCTTTCTTATTATTAAGCACAAATACCAAATGAGATAAGTGGAATGTATCAAAATCAAATGCAATTAGGTCTGCAGAAAAGAAGGTTAATTTTGATTGCCTTATGGAATACATGAGAATAACAATTTGAATTAATTTTACTAAAAGCCCTCAAGTTAAGTTAGATAAGGGTCTTAAGCATGGGCCCACCTTGGAGTCATCGTAGTCATCCGCGTGGTGTCCATTCCCGCCTACGTTTCCCGCGCCGCCCTGCTTTCCACCTCCGCCCGCGCCCTCCGGCGAGTGCTGTTCGCTAATGTACGGCGCGGATTCCTGTTGCGAGAGCGTGTTAAGCAGGTCCATGAAGGAGTGGTTGCTCTTGTCCTCCCCGCAAAGGTCCTTCTTAAGTAGCAGCTTCATATTCTTGTATAGCTGGCGCAGCTGCTTTGCGCTGCGCTGGTGGTAGACCCGCGAATTAAACTCCTTGGCGATCTGAAGCCAGACCTCGTCCTTCTTGCGATTCGACTCCGCGTCCGTGCGCTTGTTTTCGATCACGTCCTTGTACTGCGCCGCGTAGCTTAACACCATGTTTCGCTCCCGCTGCGTGTACCGTGGAGTCTTCTCCATTTTCAGCCGTTTGCAAGACGTCGTGAAGCTGTAACGAAGGTAATGTGGGATTAAAATCTGCATTAAAGCACCGCTTTTTATCCTTTGTATATCCTTGCAAACAAACAGTTTGCAACGCAGTGAAGGAGCCATTTCAGACTATATATAGTATATATACATTATTGATCAGTATCACCAGGAGAGTCAATCTAGCCATGTCCTTCTGGGCGAACTAGTATCTCAGTTTGAAAGCTATCTGAATGAAACTTTCCCAAATATCCTCTTCATATTGCAGGAAGGATCGGACGACTATATCATTATATCGTTAACTTTATTTTATTTTTATTTTATTTTATAAAATTTTTGGGATGACTTCGCTCTCAGATCCGAAAGCTCGACTGTGGCTGTTTGAAACAGAACTCCACCAGCTGTGCAACCTAGTCTAGCAACCCCCACCCCTTTATCAATCTCCGATTACATACGCAACCCCTTGCAATCGATACAACCGCCATTCTTTAATTAATAAAATAATAAAAAAAAGAAGCGCAACTGCTCCACTCATTGCCACCTACACACACAAACGCATGGGCGCATTTTGAGTTTGGAGAGTGATTAGCTGCCTGCGCAGAGGAAAAGAGAGGGGAAAAAGCGCAGTACATTGAGGAGCAGCAGGTTATACATGTATATATAAACCTGTTGCAAAATGATTTGATATGCGAGTAATGTTGAATCGAAATCTTTTGCTACAAAAGCTTGGTTTCAAATCCTACCTATGTATGTATATCTTGTTCATTTTTACTTTTTAAGCTTTTGAATATGAAATTCTAAATAAAATGTAATAAAAATCAATATATATACAAAATATATAAATTGATCCTTATTGAATGTGGATTTCGTTCACTGTAGGCCAGCTATGTGGTACACGATGTCGCAAAATGGGCACCCCCGAAAATGGTGATATCCTCGAAAATAGTGCAGGGGTGCATTTACGGTAACCCTGTCGACAGTGTAGATGATCCTGGAAGATGCTCAATCGAAGGAAACGGCAACAAAGCTCCCTGGAGGTGGAAATCAAAAGTGGGAGAACAGACCATTCCAACTGGGACGGCAATACAATTCTGCATTAACCGATATCTAATCTGGAAATTGGAGATTAGCGTAAAGCTCTTTCACACAAAAAAGCACACACAAATGGGAAGGGGAGAGAGAGCCTGAGAGAGAGGGGGTACTCACGTTTTGAGGCCGCGCCAAAGCCGGCGAGCGGGCGAAAAAAAGTGGGTGGCAGACCAAAAAGAGAGCGACGGAGAGAGTAGGGAAAACGAAAACAAAAACGAATCAGCAACAAACTTCGCGAACGGCGGCGACGAGGCGCAAAGCTCGACTAAATTTGAATTCGAATTCGGGCACGCTCAGAAGTACCGTTGGAGTGCAGCGACGTCGGCGTTGGGCAAACAAAAATAGGAATAGCAGAAGAACAGTAACCCCTGCCCCTCCCCCTACTATCCCTCCCATCCACACAGACACAATGAGTTCCACTGTTTGCCCATACACAGAGCCAGAACAGCCCATATGTGTGAGACGTAATTAAAGCTTGAAACCGAGTTTACAACAACAACCCTCAAAGAAACAGAGGCGAAGTCGAAGCAACACCAAGAATAAGAGGCTCAAGAACAGTAAAGTGAGTGTGTTAGAGAGCGAAACTTGGAGCAGAATGTGAACTAAGGGAGAGAGGCCCCCAACAACAAGAACAGTTTATAAATAAACGTTGTTGTTTTTGCCGATTTAAAGCTGCAACAAAGTAAGGGTTGAGCTGACGTGTGAGTGCGAAAGAGGGACGGGCAACTGGGGAACATAAATATGTGAGCCCACGCGGTTTTAATTAATAAACGGGTGGCATAACCTCCAATGAGTGGGACAGGAGATGAAAGACGTCCAGTTGTAAACGATCGACATGCAGATTGGATAGCCATCGATATAAGGATGGTTTCAAAAATAATCCTGAACAGTTAAGCGTTGAAAATCAGGTCCGTAGGCCGGTTTTCTCGTAAGCTCTAAGTAGTTCATCAACTCAAAAACTGTAATACGTTTTGGTAATTATAAGCCTAATTTTACCTTACCAAGAACACGAGAAAATTATCCTTAAAAGTCTAATAAGATATACAAATATAATTACCACCTAATATTGGTTCCAGGATTACTTCATAGTTTATAATTCTACAGATAAATATATGTTAAAAATAAGCATATTTGTACAAGCACTAAACCATACTGTTAGGATTTTTCGATTTATATAGTTATATTAATTGAAATAATTATAAATTCAATAAATAAATGACAATTAAAGCTCTAAAGTATGTATACCCTGCTAATTGTGCAGTTTGCCTAATGCAACAGAATGTTTTCATCCACACACCTCCCAAATTGTATTTAAAATAGTACCAAATAGAGTTATTTAGGGGAGTCTCTGGTTAGAAAACGGCCTACCCCAGGTAATTGATCGATTGCCCGATAAACTGTACCAGTCTCAGCAATCGGAGGGGCATTGCTAAGCGTCTGCGTCACTGCGCCGCTGTCGAGTCAAGTTTTAAGATAAGATTTGAGGCAGACTGTTCTGTATCTGTATCTGTATCGGTCTCTATGTGTACAAGTGTGGGTTCGCTTGGTTTTGTTTCGTTTCAGTTCGGTTTGGTTATCTACGAAATCTGCTGGCAATGGGGCTTCCATTCCAGCGTAGCGCTGAGCAGTGCAAACAAGCAAAGTTTGCTTTTTGGGGACCACAATTGTGGGGCAGCACAAGCGTTGCTTAATGCGATACCTTACCCTCGAGTTATCTACACACACTAACACTCGCGCAAGCCGCGCAACAGGTGGAATTATTTACTGATAAGCCGCTGATAAAAGCGAGCCCAGGGGAAAAGGGGCAATCGAGGTGGGAGTGAAGCTTCACCCTCTGTCACTTCGGGGGTGGGGTGTTGAAAGGGGGCGGGCGAGTTTCAAGTTCTAATTGGCTTTGTTTGTACGCTGATAACGCTCAGTGCACCCTATCAGCACCTTCCCGTTCAAAACCCCGGTTCCAAACGCACCTGCGTCCCACGGTCGAAATGCCTGTGCCTGTGGCAGTGGGTGCTATTCTTCTGCTTTTCCTCGTAATTAACTGGTGACTCTGGCGACAAAGTCTCCTGGTAATCCGCGCGTGTTTTCTGGCGGAATGAGGAGTACGCATTTTCCCCGAGCGTCGCCAACCGCAGCGCTTGAGTTGACAATTTTTACTGCTACTACCAGAGCAGCGGAATCGTAGAATCGGGCAGCGCTCACCGGCTCAATGGGTGTAATGTTCCCCGGCTGCTCTATGTGTGAGTGTGTGTGTGAGCGTAGCAAAAGCGCTTGGAAATGCTGGCCAGCGTTGTGCAATCTCCAATCTCGAGCGGTAGAATCAACGAACGGGGCCAGCTGAGTCCCACGTTTGAATTCGGGATTTCATCTCCAGTTCCTTTTCTACTCAAGTCCGGCTAAAGACCTAATATCACCATCTTGAAGGAGCCTTTCAACTCTTCATGTGACCAGACTGTACAGAAAACTTTAAGTTTACCTGAAGATTTAGATGGATATGCTTTACCTATATTTCCGTTTAGGAATGGTACCCATACACTCAAAGCGGTATCTTTTAACCTATTACTTGTTATGTCTAGAACTAGCCTGAGCCCGATATACCTCTCGGTGGAGACATAACTGTGATTAAACAGATTATTGTAAAAGCTTAAATTACGTCAAGAGCCTGGACTCACCTGGATTTATAGCTGGCTACTGTTTGAAATGGATTTCGTTCGTAGCCGCAGATCCACGGCTCTTCTTCACTTGCCCTCCTTCTTTTCCTCCTTCTATTTTCTCTCTATGTTTATGTTCCTCTTTTTTCCTCTATTCTAGTTTTCCTTAAAGAGGAATCTGTGCGATTCAAAGAAAAACGCACGGCTTGTTGTTCTTTGTCTTCGGTTCACGCGGCGTATGCGCAATATTTTCAACTACTTGTCCAACGTCGCTGACCGCCAGCTGTCTCTATCCCGCTCGCCTTCGCCCTGTCTCTTTCCCTCTCTGTGCTCTCTCCCGAAGACTTTGTCTTTAGTTTTCGGTTCTTTGTGTGCGTTTCTTCCTATTGGTTTTGATATCGTTTATAGCTGAACGCTCGTTTTGTTTCCACTGCTCACAGTTGTTGTTTCAAACCTTGGACTAAAATTAAAAATACATAGAGAAGTGAATTTGTTAATACGAAATCACGCCAAAACGTAAACATCAACGGAGATAGAGCGGAGGAAAAGCGGCGGGAAAAAGCGCAAGCATGCACGGATACACAGCACAAACAGAAGAAGACTTCTTGACTCGAGTTCTGCCCTGCGATCCCACGATTTTAGGCCCCTTATCTGTCCCGATCAGAACACAACCTGCTCTATCGGACCCTCTCTACTTCAGAAGGGAGAGGAAAACCCCTGGTTAGGCCTCACTAAAACCGCACTGAAACTAATATCTAATCTGGCTGTACGGCTACCCGGCATTATCTTATCGCCTAAAGGTGGGCTTGTGGCTCCACGGAAATTTGAAAGTCGGGTGGGTGACTCACCAAACATCGCCAGCCAGCACACACCTGATCCGCCGGACTCGGTAGGCTACGGCTAATGACTTATATTAATGTGCCACATAGTTTTACTTTATGAAGTAGAGTTCATAAACTTCAAACAAGAATCTTTGCAATCAATTTAAATCTGTCTTTGGGGCCAATAAAAAAAGGTACAGTTTTTATACCCTTGCAGAGGGTATTATAATTTTGGTCAAAAGTGTGCAACGCAGTGAAGGAGGCATCTCCGACCCTATAAAGTATATATATTCTTGATCAGGATCACCTCCTGAGTTGATATAGCCATGTCCGTCTGTCCGTCTGTCCGTCTGTCCGTCTGTCCGTCTGTCCGTCTGTCTGTTTCTACGCAAACTAGTCTCTCAGTTTTAAAGCTATCGAGTTGAAACTTTGCACACACCCTTCTTTCCTTTGCACGCAGTATATAAGTCGGAACGGCCGGGATCGGCCGACTATATCCTATAGCTGCCATATAACTGAACGATCGGAAATGCCATAACTCTGCTGTTTGTAAAGTTAGGAAGCTGGGATTTTCTATGTGTTTTATATTTGGCTAATCAATCCGACCTACCAAATTTCATAAGGATCGGCCGACTATATCCTATAGCTGCCATATAACTGATTGATCGGAAATGCAATAACTTTGGTGTTTGTAAAGTTAGGAAGTTTGGATTTTCTATGGGTTTTATATTTGGCCAATCAATCCGACCTACCAAATTTCATAAGGATCGGCCGACTATATCTTATAGCTGCCATATAACTGATTGATCGGAAATGCCATAACTTTGGTGTTTGTAAAGTTAGGAAGTTGGGATTTTCTATGGGTTTTATTTTTGCCCAATCAATTCGACATATTAAATTTCATAAGGATCGGCCGACTATATCCTATAGCTGCCATATAACTGATTGATCGGAAATGAAATAACTTTGGTGTTTTTAAAGTTAGGAAGGTGGGATTTTTTATGAGTATTAAAAATGCATCATATGAATAATTTTGGAGAATATAATTTGCAGAATATTCTGCAAGGGTATTTCAACTTCGGCTCCGCCCGAAGTTAGCTTTCCTTTCTTGTTTTAAATAGTTTTCAATACCAACATATTATATTAAAACTTGTTGATCCTTTTCATTTTTTTTAAATATTTTGAAATTAAATTTTAAAATCTCGGTTTTTAAAGTATTTAAGTGAGTCTCACTTAACAATAATTATCTGCGGGGAAATATTTTAAAAGAATGTGGAACAAAACTGAGCTAATAATCAATCTAATGAAATATGATAAACTCACTATAATTAAGTTATTTGGGATGTTATAAAATATTCAAACCAATCTTAGAAAAAATTCAATAGGGAATTCCCAACTTGGCAAGCCCGTCTCAAGGATATTTCTATTCAAAGATGATAGGTAAACTAAATCAGTAAATCGGAGACGCAGTCATACACTCTCTATATGTAGACGTGTATAGTATTGGGAATATATGCTTATGACGAATCAAGAATTCGAGGAATGAAGAAGACGCAGATCTTGGCCATTGCAAACAAACAACAGCGAAAATCGAAGAAAAGCAGAGGCATTCGGAGCTGGCCCTGTTCATCTGCTTCTCTTCGCTTCGGTCCGCCCACACGCCTTGGCATGAAAAACAAATGATCCCCCAGCCTTTCATCGTCCCCCCAAACCCCCCTAGTACACCCTAATACCCTTTTCCAACCAAAATAGACGCGGAAACAAGAAACAAAAGTTGAAATCAAAGCGTGGAGATGAGAGCGTGCCTTACCCGATACCCGTTCCCGGATAACCGCTGCCAACCGCTTACCGTTCCGAACTGGCCCGATTCGGGATTCGAATGCCCTGATGTTGCTTCGTTCTTTGGCCGCACTCAAAGAGCAGCCGGCGCAGTCTAATTGAATACTGAAAACGAATTCTGAATTCAGCCGCAGAATACCGAGACTCGAGCGGTCCGAGCAGCCGTCGCAGCCTGTTGGCTGCGTCTCCGAAGGTGCACGCCCCCCGCCATCCCTGCCGGCCACCCCCCATCTATTGGGGTCGAGCTGATCGAGTCGAAAAGCGCCATGAGGGGTTGGCAAATTTCCAACCGAAAGTTCTGCTCTGCCGCCGCTCATCTGTATCTGTGCCCGCGCCCGTCCACGAGTATCTGTATCTGCATGTCTGTCCAAGAGTAAGAGAGAGAGAGAGCGGAGCTTCGGGAAAACGATTTTACATTATGCACAGCCACGGCGAAAGTCAATTAAAGAGTAGACCGGCAGGAAAAACCAAGGAAAATCCAGCCTGGGATGGCTTCGGATACCCTCAATAGTGGAGCCACCCAAAAGATCCCTGAATATTTGGGGATCATAGGGATTTTCAGAGCCTAACTCATAATAATGGGAATTTTGAGTATTTTCTATCTTTAAAAACTGTTGTCATTTAAGAGATCTAGAGTTTATGTAAACAGAAGTAAGAATTGACAGAAATTTTAAATCATAACTCATATAACATAAAACTGTTTTAGTCTACCGTAGTTATCTGTTTAACTTCAAATTAGATGAATTTTAAATGTAAGATCAAAAATTAAAAAAAAAAAACATACATTTTTTTTATAGATTTGATTATTTGGATGCTTGGATTTATGATGTATTCGAAACTCTACATCGAGATTCCGGTTAAAAAAGAGACCACAAGGTAATAACACATTGTCGAATTGGGAATATCAGTTTTTTTGGCTCCAAAAAGAGTGCTGAACCC